CCTTCTGGCCTGTCCTTTTACATATTCTTATCTTCCACTTCTGCTTTTTTTTTTCTCCCCCATTGAGAACAAATAAAGTAATTAGAAGTTTTCTTCAGGCAGAGGGAGGAGCTGAGGCAAAGTATGTAATAAGTTTTGTCTGAACTGTTTTCCTTTCGTAATGCATGCCCTAAAGCTGTGTGCTTAGCTGGGTGCAGTGTAATTGTTCCTATCAGCGCAAAGCCTTCGGGACCTGCCCGAAATGGAGCAGGCAGGAAGCACCAGCACTCACATCGTGCCCCTTCCCTAGCTCTGCCTTGTACAGTAATAACCTTCCTTAGCCACTTACTTCCTAATCGAGTGAATGAACCTTAGAGTCTGATTCTAAAGATCCTAAGTTTAAACCTTTCTGGCAGCCTGCATGGGTGAAAATAGTGTGTGAGCGTGTAATTAAACACACTATAATAATGCAGATACACAATTAACTTTGCACAAAGAAAGTTTACTCCAGCACACTGACAAACTTTACCTTTCTTTGATACAGGCTTTAAGAAATTATCACAAAGAGGGTGATTAGAGGATCCTGTTTTCACTTGCGTATTGACTTTTGCCAGACTATGACCATTTTGCCTTAAAATACTGTTGCCCTGCCAGCTTGCTGTAGGCTACAGGAAGTTTTGTGTTTATCCACATGCTTGGATATTTTAGTGAAAATCTTCAATTATTTAAAAGAACAAATAAAAATATGCAATTTTAGGTCTAACCTTTATACCAGGGATGTGTCTTTGCTGTCCTGTGAAAATCCACCTGTTTGGCCCAGGCACACTCAAGTACTGCGTATTCAGCTTGACCTTTTTCCAGGGATGTACCTGCTTTTCAGACCAGGAGGTCAGCTGGTGCCTGTGCCCACACTCTGGGCAGAGGAGAGGAGCAGGGGCAGGAAGGGGGGATGGAAAGCAGGACCAGCAGGAGAAAGAAGGGCAGATCAAGAACAACAGGTGGGAAGAGGAGGAAGATGAAATAGGGGATGAAGAAGACAAAGGTCTGAGGCAAGGAAGGGAGGCCTGGTGATGAATTTGGACCTAAGCATTAGGAATGGGAGCAGGGGATGGAATATGGCAGAAAGAGGCAAGAGAAGCTCCTAGTAGGAG